TGGAATCGTAAGCGGCACAAGTTGTCTTCATTTATCTTGACTGCTTCTTGTTATTGAATCAAGTCTTGTCTGATGTTCTGAGATCACATAGTCTTTTACAAGCTATGACTGGCTATAAACAATTGTGCAGGTGTCATAGAGCTTCCGGAGTTTGGTGAGAGAAACATCTCATCTGCCACAGGCTGTTTGGTGGTAATTCTCATCCAGCGAGTGGGCAACCCTCATATATATACATTGCTATTGTTAAGTCGTTAATTTTTAAAAAATTATAGTCATTTTTGTTCTAAGTCATTTCTTTTTATTCTGAAAAAGTTTAATCAACTCTTTTGTAAGAATTGAATGCGTTAATTGATTATAGTTCAGAAGTAGCAGCTAAATAAATTTGGTTGTTCATTTTGTAAATTCATTTAAATACGCCGAATTTTTGTAATATATACTTCACAATTATTTTGAGTGAAAGATCTTGTAGCTTATGAATAATTCTGATTCTACTAATTCGTAAATTCGCCTATTGTTAAGACGTAAATAACTCTAATCCTTATAACCCGGGGAAACTATTTGGTTTGATAATGACTTTTACCTGAACTCACTCACAAACTTTTTGCTCCAGATGCAAACACGTGACTGTTTAGTTACGCAGTGAGGGTCGAATACGTTTTCATCCCAACCCACAACCCAAAATCTGACTAAATAATTTACATTCTTTTTTAATGCTTTTTTGAAGGGCTTTTTGATCGGAAGAGAATTTTTCAGCATTCTCTCATAGATAGATAAAGAAGAAAATTAGATAGATAGATAGATAGATAGATAGATAGATAGATAGATAGATAGATAGATAGATAAAGAAAAGTGAATCAGACAAAGCAGATCAAATAGATAGATATAGATAGATAGATAGATAAATAGATAGATAGATAGAAGAAGATAAAAAATCAGACAAAAGCGAATCAAATAGATAGATAGATAGATAGATAGATAAAGAAGTGAATCAGACAAAGCGAATCAAATAGATAGATAGATAGATAAATAGATAGATAAAGAAGTGAATCAGACAAAGCGAATCAAATAGATAGATAGATAGATAGATAAAGAAGTGAATCAGACAAAGCGAATCAAATAGATAGATAGATAGATAGATAGATAAAGAAGTGAATCAGACAAAGCGAATCAAATAGACAGATAGATAGATAGATAAAGAAGTGAATCAGACAAAGCGAATGAAATAGATAGATAGATAGATAGATAGATAGATAGATAGATAAAGAAGTGAATCAGACAAAGCGAATCAAATAGATAGATAGATAGATAAAGAAGTGAATCAGACAAAGCGAATCAAATAGATAGATAGATAGATAGATAGATAAAGAAGTGAATCAGACAAAGCGAATCAAATAGATAGATAGATAGATAGATAGATAGATAGATAGATAGATAAAGAAGTGAATCAGACAAAGCGAATCAAATAGATAGATAGATAGATAAAGAAGTGAATCAGACAAAGCGAATCAAATAGATAGATAGATAGATAGATAGATAAATAAAGTGAATCAGACAAAGACAAATAGCGAATCAAATAATAGATAGATAGATAGATAGATAGATAAAGAAGTGAATCAGACAAAGGAATCAAATAGATAGATAGATAGATAGATAGATAAAGAAGTGAATCAGACAAAGGAATCAAATAGATAGATAGATAGATAGATAGATAGATAAATAGAAGTGAATCATAGACAAAGAAGAATCAAATAGATAGATAGATAGATAGATAGATAATAAAAGTGAATCAGACAAAGCGAATCAAATAGATAGATAGATAGATAGATAGATAGATAAAGAAGTGAATCAGACAAAGCGAATCAAATAGATAGATAGATAGATAGATAGATAGATAAAGAAGTGAATCAGACAAAGCGAATCAAATAGATAGATAGATAGATAGATAGATAAAGAAGTGAATCAGACAAAGCGAATCAAATAGATAGATATAGATAGATAAAGAAGATAGATAGATAAATAGATAGATAGATAGATAAATAAAGTGAATCAGACAAAGCGAATCAAATAGATAGATAGATAGATAGATAAAGAAGTGAATCAGACAAAGCGAATCAAATAGATAGATAGATGATAGATAGATAGATATAGATAAAGAAGATAAAGAAAAATCAGACAAAGCGAATCAATTAATGATAGATAGATAGATGAATAGATAAAAGCGATCAAATAGATATAATAGAATATGAGATGAATCAGACAAAAAGCAGAATCAAATAGATAGATAGATAGATAGATAAAGAAGTGAATCAGACAAAGCGAATCAAATAGATAGATAGATAGATAGATAAAGAAGTGAATCAGACAAAGCGAATCAAATAGATAGATAGATAGATAGATAGATAAAGAAGTGAATCAGACAAAGCGAATCAAATAGATAGATAGATAGATAAAGAAGTGAATCAGACAAAAATCGAATCAAATCGATAGATAGATAGATAGATAAAGAAGTGAATCAGACAAAGCGAATCAAATAGATAGATAGATAGATAGATAGATAAATAAAGTGAATCAGACAAAGCAGAATCAAATAGATAGATAGATGATAGATAGATAGATAAAGAAGTGAATCAGACAAAGCGAATCAAATAGATAGATAGATAGATAAAAAGATCAGATAAAGATAGATAAAGAAGATGTTAAGTGAATCAGACAAAAGGAATCAAATAGATAGATAGATAAAGAATCAAATAGATATAGAGATAGATAGATAGATAGATAGATAAAATAGTGAATCAGACAAAGGAATCAAATAGATAGATAGATAGATAGATAGATAGATAGATAGAAGTAAAAAAGAATCAAACAAAGCGAATCAAATAGATAGATAGATAGATCAGATAAAGCGAATAAATAGATAGATAGATAAAAAGAAGTGAATCAGACAAAGCGAATCAAATAGATAGATAGATAGATAGATAGATAGATAAAGATAAATAGATAGATAGATAGATAGATAGATAAAGAAGTGAATCAGACAAAGCGAATCAAATAGATAGATAGATAGATAGATAGATAAAGAAGTGAATCAGACAAAGCGAATCAAATAGATAGATAGATAGATAGATAGATAGATAAAGAAGTGAATCAGACAAAGCGAATCAAATAGATAGATAGATAGATAGATAGATAGATAAAGAAGTGAATCAGACAAAGCGAATCAAATAGATAGATAGATAGATAGATAGATAATCAGATAATCATAGATAGATAGATAAAGAAGTGAATCAGACAAAGCGAATCAAATAGATAGATATGAATAGATAAAGAAGTGAATCAGACAAAGCGAATCAAATAGATAGATAGATAGATAGATAGATAAAGAAGTGAATCAGACAAAGCGAATCAAATAGATAGATAGATAGATAGATAGATAAAGAAGTGAATCAGACAAAGCGAATCAAATAGATAGATAGATAGATAGATAGATAGATAGATAGATAGATAGATAAAGAAGTGAATCAGACAAAGACATCAAATCAAATAGATAGATAGATAGATAGATAGATAGATAAAGAAGTGAATCAGACAAAGCGAATCAAATAGATAGATAAATAGATAGATAGACATAGATATCAGATAGATAGATAGATAGATAGATAAAAGAAGTGAATCAAGCGAATCAAAGCGAATCAAATAGATAGATAGATAGATAGATAAAGAAGTGAATCAGACAAAGCGAATCAAATAGATAGATAGATAGATAGATAGATAGATAGATAAAGAAGTGAATCAGAAAAAGCGAATCAAATAGATAGATAGATAGATAGACAGATAGATAGATAAAGAAGTGAATCAGACAAAGCGAATCAAATAGATAGATAGATAGATAGATAGATAGATAGATAAAGAAGTGAATCAGACAAAGCGAATCAAATAGATAGATAGATAGATAGATAGATAAAGAAGTGAATCAGACAAAGCGAATCAAATAGATAGATAGATAGATAGATAGATAGATAGATAAAGAAGTGAATCAGACAAAGCGAATCAAATAGATAGATAGATAGATAGATAGATAGATAGATAGATAGATAGATAGATAAAGAAGTGAATCAGACAAAGCGAATCAAATAGATAGATAGATAGATAGATAGATAAAGAAGTGAATCAGACAAAGCGAATCAAATAGATAGATAGATAGATAGATAGATAGATAAAGAAGTGAATCAGACAAAGCGAATCAAATAGATAGATAGATAGATAGATAGATAGATAGATAGATAGATAGATAAAGAAGTGAATCAGACAAAGCGAATCAAATAGATAGATAGATAGATAGATAGATAGATAGATAGATAGATAGATAGATAAAGAAGATAGATAGAATCAGATAAAGAAGTGAATCAGACAAAGAATCAAATAGATAGATAGATAGATAGATAGATAGATAGATAAATAAAGTGAATCAGACAAAGCGAATCAAATAGATAGATAGATAGATAGATAGATAGATAGATAAAGAAGTGAATCAGACAAAGCAGATCAAATAGATAGATAGATAGATAGATAGATAGATAGATAGATAGATAAAGAAGTGAATCAGACAAAGCGAATCAAATAGATAGATAGATAGATAGATAGATAGATAGATAGATAAAGAAGTGAATCAGACAAAGCGAATCAAATAGATAGATAGATAGATAGATAGATAAAGAAGTGAATCAGACAAAGCGAATCAAATAGATAGATAGATAGACAGATAGATAGATAAAGAAGTGAATCAGACAAAGCGAATCAAATAGATAGATAGATAGATAGATAAAGAAGTGAATCAGACAAAGCGAATCAAATAGATAGATAGATAGATAGATAGACAGATAGATAGATAAAGAAGTGAATCAGACAAAGCGAATCAAATAGATAGATAGATAGATAGATAGATAGATAGATAAGTAAATCAGACAAAGCGAATCAAATAGATAGATAGATAGATAAGTAAATCAGACAAAGCGAATCAAATAGATAGATAGATAGATAGATAGATAGATAGATAGATAGATAGATAGATAGATAGATAGATAGATAAAAAGAATCAGACACATAAAAAAGAGAACCAGATAAATAAAGAGATAAAGAAGAGAATCAGATAGATAAAAAGAATCAGATAGATAAAGAAGGTTATCAGATAGATGTTTCATGGTTGTGATTTCCAAACACTAATGTTTTGTTATCTCTTTTTACAAGCAGCTCGTATTTAATACTTTATTTATACAACCTTTCGTCCTGATCAGTTGTGTGGTGCAGTAAAGGAAACGTGAATTAATTTTCCACTAAAACTTGTGTTTCTCAGCCACCTTTGAAAATTATGCCGCAGTCATACCACAGATTTATAAGTCCTTCACGGGCTACTTGTTATAGGTCTCGTGGGCACACGTGAAATGAGTGTTTGTTCCGCTAACAGGCTTTATCTTTGGATAGCACGTGTCACAGATCGGATTTATGTGTAAAACCACAGGCTTTGAAGTTTGCAATCGGCAAATCTCTTTCTAAACATGGGATCGCCAAAAAATTCGAGCCAGCAATTTTGTAACGTTCATTTTGCTCCTGCTAAGTATCTACTTGAAAATAGGAATGTACGCAGCCATTAAAAAATTACCAGAATTCATAAACATTTATCTGTGTCTCTCCGCAAAGGCAAAATGCGACATAAGGCCAGATTTAATGCGTGGCGGCATACCTATAGGTCGAAACAAACAACACTATGGGTGCATTTCCTAAATTCTGGATGACCAGAGTTTGGCAGAGCTCTTATAAATTAATGGGTGAAAAACTGGCTTACTTTCATTAACCCACATTCAGTACCTCAAAAATCGAATCATTAACTGAGCTGACTCTGAGTTTTCGCCTATTACAATGAACGCGAGTGTTTTATCAAGCAGGCTCCTTGCCTTGAACGCTTATTGAGGCTTAAACTCACCAAACCTCGTGAACCTCATTAAAGATGCTGGGAAAATGGTTGGGTCTCTGTACCGCTCCAGTAAGTACCTGACTCCTCTTGCTAGATCGGACCGAAAATGGCCTACTCGCTGCCAAATCTGGACGGGAACTGCCCAATATTCATTTTCCAGTTATTGCTAGCGCCCAAAAAGCGTCTACATGACATTGTGGATGATTAATTATTTTCCACCCTGCAACGTATTTCCACAGACGAAACGTTACTCGATAGCTCTTTCCGTGGAGAACGTTCAAACAAGCTACATTCCTTCGTTCCACCAGCAAATCTAACCCTCACAACTATGACCCGCGATACCGCGTGCACTACGGCGAACTACTCGCTTTCTCTTAGTATTCCATTAGTAAGAAGTAAGTTTCATTTAAATAGATTTTTCCCACGAACCGCTATTTTATGGAACTGACTCCCAAGAGGATGCTTTTCCGACCACTGTAATCTTAACCTTTTCAAGTCGAGGATTAGCCATTACCTTTCCCACATATCCTTATAAACTGTGCCTCTTACCTTTTACTTTTACCGTTCACACAAGAAACTGCTTCAGTAACACTCTACCTTGAGTGGCTCTTCGACCTTGTATAGAGTGAACATTAGTAGAAAAAACAATCCTTTATCGATAATTATCATCACAGCCATCAGGGAATTCCTTAAATCTATTCATCTTAGTGCAATGCAGTCTAGAGCAGCAGATCTGGAATTAGGCATGAAGCTTTTTGTATATATGTTAGTGTTTCACAAGGAATAGTTTCCTAAGATACGACAGGTACCTTTAGAAGTATAGAACTACGGATGTAAAAATTTTAAAAAAGCCAAAACAAAGTTTAAATTTTCAACGTTGGATTTGACAAGCATTATTTCAGATATCGTAAAATTCAATATAATCGACCCGGATGTCAACGACAAATGAGAAATGCTATTGACTGAACAAATAAAATTCAGCCTGTTCGGAAAGCTATTTTCTTTAATAATTTCTTAACAAATCTCTATTTCTAAACGGCAGGATGTGTGTGTGTGTGTGTGTGTGTGTGTGTGTGTGTGTGTGTGTGTGTGTGTGTGTGTGTGTGTGTAACGAATGCACGGCCGCAATTTTCGACGGATTTGCACCAAAATTGACATGCACATGCTCCAAGTTAGTGAGAAGGCCAAGACCGACTTTGCATTTCCCAACTCCCATCGATAGTGGAAATAATCGTTTTTTTCATTCTTCTACGGCAGTTTTCAGGTAGTTTGCGGCCATTTTGTACTGGCCAGAGTGAGAGCCTATAGCTGGATGCCACGAATAGGCAGAAAGATTATATTGGCCAGCGTGAGAGCTAACAGCTGACTGACACGAATGTTAACTAGCATGCAAAAAAAATCGATAGCTGCATTCGTCACAAGTGGGAAAAATTTTAATCTTCATGGCACTTTACTCCAATTGGCTCATTCGCTTGCTTAAACTCAACGTTGATTCTGATACCGCAGAACTGGGTTGGGTGTGAAAAAGTATTTGTTGTTAACATTCTTTTTTTCATTCGGTTTTTCCAGTTACGAGTCCTTTTTTTAAAGCCGATCATTTTGTGTTCGTTTTGTTTAGTTCTTTTTTCCGTAACAGATTTAATGTTTAGTATAGAGGTTAGAAAAAATTCGCAGTGTGATTCGCAAGAAGTAAGGCATGTAGCAACATCAGCACGGCAAAGGGCACTCCTTTAAAGGCAAGGAAGAGCAAAAATATTTTAAGTCAAGTGATAGCGATTGCTGTATGAGCCGTACGATTTTTTAATCAAGCACGGGCAACGCCGGGCCATGCTGCTAGTAAACAATATAATTATAATATCAAGAAGAAGAAAAACAACAACAGGTTCTCTTGACTTCTCATCGACATTGATTGAAAGTGTGGACATCCATAAGTTTGGTCTTGGTGAATTTAAATGGGCTGCAGTAAATATCCTGTTCAGTAATTTCTGTCTGAATTACTGGGATGAAGAGTTATCACTATTTACATTATTTACATTCGGACTATTCTCCTCATTTTTGTTGTTATTATCACAGTGTTTCGATCGAATAATGGAATTTCAAACTGAACCGTTTACGGTAGTAGCGTGTCTATGTTTCGTCCTCTTCTTATTTAGTACTGCACATTTATTATATCCACACTACTATCCGAGCCAGGTATTGAACTCTCAGTTATTATGCCATGTATTCAAATTCACGAACCAAAGATTTAATCCCCCTATTTTCCCAGGAACAAACCTGAACCTAGAACTTAAAGCTTAAAACCTAATTTGCCTGCTGCTGCTGCTGCTGTTGGAAAATTTGATTGCATTCAGCGCGGTTTATCTTTTCTTACTGCTACTTCCGCTATTGCTGTTTGAAGCATTGCTGTCGGTTCTCTTTATTTATTAATGGCGCCCATATTGTATTTATTTCTAAGCTATTTATTGGGGAGATCCTCATAGCCTTACATAAGCGCTGATTCATTCTCGTTCAGGATAGATACGTCAATGATGAAAACAAAAACACATTTATTAACATATCATTCCTTGTCAATGCACGTAACTCAGTGATTAACCACATAGAACATTATAAAGTGAAATTTTTACATCAAATTTCAACTAATAACGACGGGTTAGGCTACGGAATTATTGATTTAATTCTGTAATCACGGTGCACACAATAAGAATCGAACTCACTGCAGAGAACTTGCGATCTACGACACTTGCTTGTTAAATTTTTATTCCATGGTAGTTATGAAAGCCGATAAAAATTATTTGTAAACTGTAAAATGCTTTCTTTACATATAAGATCCAACCTAATTCAATAACTTCCTTTCGTAGATAATTTGTACGATTTCTCAGCTCTCACATTTTATAAAATGAAAATAAAAACCTGATTGATTTGTTGCAAAAAACTGTATTTCACATTGAAGTCTCTTAGGTTTTCTTGGATGAAGTTTATTTGTTAAATCCAAATGTTAAAAAAAAACATCATAATCTATTGGAAAATCTAGGTGTTTAAATATTTATTTTCAATGAAAACGATCATATTTCTAATTGGGTTCATCGGCATGTCTACGCATATTTATTCGTTCAAATAATATTGAAATTATTATATTGCTTTTTATGAATATTTTCTAGCAAATGACGGTGATGTTGATCCTTGTCAACGCATCATATATTGGCTCTCTATCAAACAGTCTGCGTTTGTATAAGAGTCAGACTAATATAAATATGATAGACATAGCAAGATATATAAAAAAAAAACTTAAAATATCTAGTCAAGATTCAAAAATTGTTTAAATTAATGGTTAGCAGAATCGACACCGTACGACGATGGTTACTGAATATCTGTTTTCAGGATTCCAACTCCAAGCGGAGGCAGAGTCTACGGCCTTGACTAAACCTGTTTGTAATGTCAATATTATGAGGCTGACTCTTAAGCTCCTGTCAATATTTTAGTTGCAAATAAATAAACATCTGCTAGCAAATCTTCTGGGAAAGCGAATAACTTCAGTTCCGAAGCACAGAACATTCAGAATGCACAAAATGATAAGATGATAATTAAAAAAGGTTCTGTTCTTTTCATTCTATCTTTTTGTCTCAATAAAGGAAAAATTTGCACATAAAAACCGAATAAAGTAAACATATTTTAATACAAGTTGAATATCCTTTATCCGAAATTCTAAAATCCGAAAACTTTCAAAATCCAAGAGTTTTTCAGGCAGTGACATGACTTTCCAGAAATGGAAAAATTCAGAAAGCTCAGCTACGTAGTCTAAGTTAGCGCCAGTTTTTTTGTTTTTTTTGTTAGTGATCGTCACAGCAACACCTTCATTCGTGGATTACTTACCAGGTGTTTCGTGATCAGTAAAGATATTATTCAAAATTTCAAAAAACCCTGCATTTATATATTTTTTGTAAGTAGTGATCAAATTTTATGCACACATACAGAAGGTACAAGACATTATTTTTACGTGAAAACTAATTTCACCACTTAAAAATCAATGTGAGCATTACCTGTATCTGTATGTGCACAAAATATATTAAATTTTATATAAAACTACTTCCAGGGTATATATGATTCCCATAAAACTACCTTCAGGATATATGTCTAAGCTGTGTCATGAAATGTAAACGGATATCGTGTTTAATCTTAGGTTCAATTTCCAGGCTGCCCCATTTTATCGATGCTATATATAAATTAAATAGCCTGTATTCCAAAATCTGA